GCGTCCACTGAAGAAGAATTCACTTCATTTATTTTGGCTGTAATGTTGCAGTTCAGTTCTATATGGACAAGACTAAAACTGTCTCCGTTGCCTTTATATATATGTAACAGGAAATTATGATGACAGGATGATTAATGTGTGTGAAGATAAAGTGTGTGTTGCTTAAATGTGCCAGATGTAACACATGTATGTTGCAATGTGATATGTGTGTATTATTACCCGAAAGCCAAAACTTTGTAGATTGGGGTCTCAGAATTCTCCCAAATCAGCTTTGTCTTGGAAAGTGCCAATGTAGCTCAAAAAAGGGGATTCAATATAACGTGTCTCTTACTTGATACTCCAAATGTCTTCTGCCTCTGTGTTAATGAAGAGGAATATTAGGCTCTTTTTGAAAAGGATATTTATAATTTTTATTGAAATACTAAATATCTTTTTATACCTCTTTTACTGTTTATACCTGTTATACTATATATTTATTTATATGTCTGTTATACCATTACACATTATACCTATAGATAACAGTACATTTCAAGGCTTAAAAAAAAAAAAAGAAAAAAAACATGGTATTCTTGAATCAGTCTATGCAGTGGGCACCTTTGGGGGAAGTACAAGTTTCTGCATTCAAGGAGCAGCTATACAAAATCATACAAAAGAAATCTGTGGAAAGCTACTAAATATATAGAAACCATGGCTGGCTGATGAAGTCTCTGAGCTGCCAGTGTTTTGAGGTTCAAAGAGTATTCAGGAGCAGTATCATACGTGCTTACCATGCTCTTATGTGCTCCTCTGCTTCTGCTTTTTGCCATAGTTAGTCCCTCAGTCTTCACCAGTACTGCTCTGAAGTGCAGTATTTGGTTGTGGTGCTTCTTTTTTGCCACACAGATTACTGCAGTATAATGGAAATTTCTGTTAGAAGTTAATACATGAAAATACTGGCTTTTGTTTACCTGACAGCTCTGCCTGATCCAAACCAAGCGGCAAAATTAATGTTAAATTTCATTGTCATGTTTTCATGGGTAGGGTCTAAGAAGGTGAGAAAATAAACAGTTGTATTGCCTTTTCTGTCCCTGTTTCATTTTATAAGCAGTAGGTTGTGCTTGTGTGTGTCCTCCTTCATTCTGCGCTACAGTGACCCATAGGGCAGGGAATTTTTCCTTGGTAGGAAGTGGTTGGATTTGGTACTGCTGGCTCTGATGGGCAATTTTCTTGTGACAGAGGACCATAAGAGCTTCATTTGGCATACATTGAAGGAACTTGCCTATCAGCTCATTGTCCCGGCCCTCTCATCTTTGAAACTCTTCTGTATCATAACAAGAATGCTATTATGGGTATCTTTCATCATCTCAGTTCACCATCGAATGGATTTTCCATTGCTTGGAATTGGTATTAGGCTCTGCATTGGCAGAGGGTAATGTAGTTGCAGAGTGAATTTATCTTAGTAACTAATCCTTGCCACCTCCCTGTGAGGTGATTTGCTAAGTATCTGACAGATGGGGAAGCACGTGAGGGAGAGATGGTTTCAGAGCTGGGATTAGAGCACTGATGTCTCGGGCTTCTGGTCCTGTGCCCTGCACAACCATGAGACCAGCCTTTCCTACCCATCTCCTCTTACTCTCCTGGGGCAAATGCCTATTGAGCATTATTAATTAAGACAACAGGGGAATAATCCTGTTGTCCTAGTCAGGAGTGAAACTCATCTTTTATTTCTGTGGTCTTGTATGCATTTTAATGCTAACGGTCAGGAGACCTTAAATAACCACATCAAACAGCCGATTCGGTGCCAGCCGTCCTTCTTATTTAGCTTAGTCTAAACTGACACCAAACTTTGAGACATTCCTCTCCTCCCACAGTGGAGAGCCGCTGGGATTTTTTTATACCACACATGGTTTCCCTCCTACATTTCCCTCCCATGTCAGATATTCATACCCCCTTTAATAACCAGCAGGGGGATCATTACATTGAGCTACTGCCAAATGCATAATGACTGCTGCCTTTGCCTTACACAGTCACTGCACTACTGATATCCAATTCAGCATTGTAAAGTGCTTAGGGCTACCTTGGGGATGTGCTATATTAAACCCAACTATTCTAAATCCTATTTAATACAAAGAGATTGGTGGTGGGGGAGGGGGGAGGGAGATTTAAAATTGTCATTAGCCACCTATTTTCAACAAGTAAAAACACCTGGTCATTTAGGGCCCAGTTCTGTCCCTCTGAAGTCGTAAATAGTCCCACTGGTTTTAGTCAGGGGTGCATGAAGGCGTGCACTCTGCTTACCACTGGGGCAGGCAGAATCGGGTCCTATAGAAGCTGCGGCTGAGATGGTAAGTTTGCAAGGAGCTGATGGGGGGGAGTGTGCCCATTTCTGAATTCCACTTACAAATGTTTTACAGTGAAAACAGAAAGAAGAAACATGCTTCATATCTGACTAAAAATAAAGGTACTGTTAAACTTGTAAAAGACAACATTTTTATTTGAATGATATGACAGAGCTGCCACAGGAGTGTTACCTGCTATAAAGAAAGCTTAAGAATTATTACCTTTATTAGACCAGTGACACTGAGCTTTAGCCATACATTTCTAACTTCTGTCCCTCTACAGAGACAATTTTCTTTTCTTAAATAAACTGTCATGCTAGTGTTAATATATTGTTGGCTCCCTCATACTCTGAGAATACTGCTGATATAAAACATGTATATGTTAGATTGGTAATAGTATCTTTAGTGTAGCTGACTAGAACAAATGTGTTTCCCTCATGGCTGTGCTAATGTGATAAAGGAAAATTGGCTGTTCATCAGCTTTTGGCTGGGTAAAGACAGTGGAGATGGAACCACATTCTTTTTTATGCATTAATACCACTGAGAACTTTTCACTAGTTATATTTCATGTGCGGGCATGTTGTGCAAAGATGTTGTAAAACATGAGATAATGCTACAAATAACAAAGTAGAAAAGCCTGTATCTTTTATGATGATAACAGTCAAACACCAAATGACAGTAACAGGCTGTAAAAAATGTGATGCAGAAAAAAAAATGCAATGTAACCACCATATACACATACACTTAGGCTCTTGCAAATAGGGCATCAGATGTTTAGAAGGCTTTGAATTAAAATTAAAAAACCTGTTGTATTTAGGTCATTGATGTGCCAACACAAAAGGTAATTTAAAATGGAGAGATGTATTTTGAGTGGTGAAACTCATATGCAATAACTTTTTGAACAAATCTCAAGGCTTAGCAATTATGATAATAGCCTTCAAATTTCCATCAGTGGAAGAGCAATAAATATTTCTGTCTAAATTTGGGAAATATTGACTGAATCTGGAAATGGCAATAAAGCTCAGCATGCACGTGTACGTTTGAAAGTGCAGTTTAAGGAGAAAAATTAATCTGTACAATTTTATGTGAAGCCTAAATAATTAAAAAAAAAAAAAAAAGCCAAACAAAAACCTCCATCTCATTTCATAGTTTCTTTCTTAAAATACTGATAGAGTCATGTTGCCTGAGGCACTGATGCTGATCATCTGAGCTCAGATTTATAGATAATTGTGTCCGTTTATCTTGGTCTGAAATTTGAAAGACTTTATTGGTGGAATAGTATTGTGAGTGCTTATATTGTGGTTTTCAAACTGATATTTTTTCAGGTCCTGGCTTCCCTCTTTGCAACAAATTATTCTGGCTTGTAAACCTTCTGTTTGTCCTCACATATATATTGGTCTTATGGAAGCAATTATTCCAGGTTTATTTTGTTTTCATTAGTGTGGGTATCAAGACAGGCTAAAGCACTCTAGTTTTATTTGGCCTCTGTAGACAGGATTCACCAGGCATCCATATCTGCAAAATGAAATAACGCTCTGTAAATTGGCAACAACAAAACGATGTTTCAAAATCTGAAGGCTACCAAGCTCTCATGTGAAATAAGCCTTATGCAAGCTAAATATTGCTAAAAATCAAGTTGCTTCAGATTTGCAGATAAATCCCTTTCTGAAATAAATGAGATTAAGTTTATTCTGTAAACAACTCAGAGTTCAAAAGTTTTTCAATAAGTTGGACTTAGTTTCTATCATTAGCTTCATTAATAGGAAGCTGACTATAGCCATGATGCCTCCAGTTTCCATTTTGTATTTGCCTATATTTTTTAAATTAGAATATTGAATTTCATAAAAAAGTGTGGCTGAAAGGCACTCCCATATTATTAAACCTTTTCTGATTTTATGTAACTTTAACATGAGGATTTTTCATCCAAAAGAATACTTTGTAAAAGCTCAGCATCTTGTGACTTTGTGGAGCTGGGAGAATGCCATAAAGTATTTCCATGAACGTTAGCTCAAATTTAAAATGAATAGGCAGGGAAGAGAATGCTTGGAGAAAACAGTACCCTGGGGTGCTGGCTGAGTGCATATTCCTAGCCAAGGGTTCCCTTGATGTAAGGGAATTACCCACTGGGTGTAAAGCAGATGTAGCCAGTTCCTGTACTGCTCCCCTCAGCCCTTGTAGAAAGAAACATGCTGGGGTTAGGGAGGCGGTTTGGAGGGGTGTTAGAGGCCTGGCTGAAACACGCTGCGTTTGGTTATCCTGAGTATGGTATATAGCCCCTTGAGACATATTTGAACTGATGTGTATGAGAAGAGCTCTGACAGCTATAAAATAAGCCCATGGCGCGAAGTGGTGATGTAGCTGTAACCAGTCTTGTACCTTGTGAAACAGACAGACCCACCCTTCTTTTCCTCTCCTCCCCCTCCCCGCCAGATTACTGCACCGTAGTTTCTTCTTTGATTTAACAACTGTAGAAATTTCATACTCTGCACATCTGATCTTATTAACTGGATTGCTGATGGATGGACAGAAAAGAGGTAAATACTTTCAGTAGGCACCAAAAATAAAGGCACACAGCAAGTAGGTTGAAGTAATGTTAGCAGTTAATCAGTGATACATACAATATGTAGAGGAATCAGAGTGACTGTATAACAATGTGTTTGCCCATCTACATTGATTCAATAGGTGCATCACAGCAGAATTAGTTTCTTCTTGAATGGCTGGGAAGATGACAACACACCTTTTGATTCAAGGATTCTTGTGGGAACAGTTGCAGATACAGACGCTGATGGTACTCTGAAAATTGGACAAAGCTTCACGGGTAAATCTTGTAGTATTTTAGTGGAATGATCTGGAATATTCAAAATAAGATGTGCACAATGTGATTAAAAAACGTGTGTGAGTCATTTTAAGTTATCTAGATGCTGAGAAATAATACCTTCCTGCAGGAGAAAATTCATATTGTACAATTAGCTTTCTCAAAAGATTGGCTGAAAAATAGATGTTTGGTAGATGATCCTGTGGGATCATACTTTATTCTATGTGTTACTGCATATAGGTAAGTTTTCCTGCATTCTCCAAAATGTAGGTATGTAAAGTGACGCATTCCATTAATTTACAATCATAGTTTTTCAGAGTAAGTATATGAAACTGTTTGAGAATGGGATTGTGCATGGCCACTTGACCACAATCCTCTCCAGAGTCAGGAATAGAGCTGAAGATTTTTGGCTGTTCATGTGCTTCAGTTCTATCAGTGGTCGCATAAACTACTAGCAGAATGAGAATCCCTCAGCCTCTAGTAATGCCTGATAGCATTACTCTTCATCTACATCTAGATTTTATATGTACTACAGCATGACATGATCACTGCAGAAGAGCTGGGGGATGTTTTGTTGCTTTTCACAAATTCTTGACTCTGCAGATGTAAGAACACCATGTATTGATTGATCTTTAGGAACATGCACAATTTGAAGTTAACTCCTAAATATTAATATAACTATATGTCACTTATACAACTTTATTGTGCTCTTGGGCAAGAAAGTAATTCTGTGCCCCATTTCTTAAAGCTTCTATTTGGAAATGTGTTTTATTTAACAACTTTAGAAATTTGGTAACTAATAGACATATAAAAGAAAGGAATATTTTAAAGTGCTTTTCATCTTTATTGTATAAATTGATAGGTACAGTTGTACCTACTGTATCTCTTCCCTAATTAGAGGTGGCACATGGACTGGCTCATTACTTCTGTCTAATGAGCCGATCCTTGTGCCACCTCTCTAATCAGAAAAGAGATAGGTACAAAATGTTCTTATAAAGTTATTATAAATCATTCTTTTTTATCAAAAAAATTAAGTCACTGCCCTCTATAGTTTTGTCCAGGTCCAAGATGGTTTCATTCAGGAGGGGTAATTGTGCAAGAGAGATCTCCAAGTGCTGAATTAAAGGTGCTCTCATGCAGTGCATAGCTGCCTTCTGCTCAATAGATTACTTATTTATAGTATATTTTCTTAGGTTTAGAGCAATTTGTTGGAAGAATGCAAGATTTTCGATTTTACCCAGTGGCACTTACAAACAGGTAAAGAATCTTTATTTTTGTAAAAAAGTAAAAGCATGATGAGAAGAAAGAATAGATAACTATTTTTATTTCTCAAAATATAGTGCTTTTCAGATGTCTCCTTTAGGTGATTGCTTATGATGATGTAGTTTACTGAACCTAATTTCAAAAATTGCTTTTAATCTAAAAATTTGAGTTAAAATAAATTCAACTACTTTATGCATTTGCTTTTGAACTGTTGCTGAAATATAGCTAGTATATGTAGTATATATGTAGTGAAACAGCACTCAGTAATCAATGTGTGATTTCCTTGCTATTGTTGTTCCTGTTACAACATGACTTAGGGTTCTTGCAGAGAGTAGATCCAGTTGCTAGATTTCAATGCTCCTAAACTGTCTAGGTGTTGTCAACTCATCATAATTCTGACATAATAGTGTGTGCTGAATAACTTAGTCCCGCTGGATTGGATTTGTCAAGCTTTCCCAAAGCTCCATGGAACCTGTAGAGCAGGGAAGGGAGCATAGTGGGCCAGTCCAGTTTAGACCCCTCAAATGCCAGTGATCCAAATGAAGAGAACGTTAGTCAGCATGCTGGCTTCGTGGCTGCGAACTTGGGTCCCGTGCTTAGCAGTTCCTTTCCTCTAGTTTCAGTTTATCCATGGCATCGGACATCCCAGTCAGGTATTTCCCCCACACCCCTGCCCCAAGGTGCTATTGTCTTAACTGTACATCGCTTTCTAGATTAGACTGTCATCATAAACCACCAGTGACTTCACTAGCTCAGCCCACATAGCCCTGGGCAATTGTTTTGACTTTCTCCATTCCCGAGGCCAAATCACGGTTGCCACTGCAATTTCTGTTGCCCTCCAGCCTCCCTTCCTAGCACATTACAAAGAAATGTTACCTTTGTTATCCGGCTCATGCTGGATTAATCTAGTCAATTCAAGCTGGTCAGAAGTAGTCAGGTCCTATTTGTCTGCTTGGTGCTTCTGGGTAGGCTACATGCAATGACACTCATGACTGCAGACCTTAAGGCTACTTAATGATAGTCTTTCAGTAAGATGTAGAGCAGTTTTGTAGGAGCTGAGCTGTCTGCAGGACATTATGATGAACTGACCTCCTGTGAATTTAAAGTATTAATATGAGGCTGAATTCCAAGTTATATGAAAATCATGTGGGTTGTACTCTTTCACAGCAATGCTTGTCAAATTCTTTGAACTACAGTTTAAGTCAGTGAAATGAATAAAGTTTGAATATTGAAAGATAAGGTGTTTTATAAAGTGTTGTGACCCAGTGATGCCTTTGTAGATGTAGTTTTATATCCACAAATAACTTAGTTCCAAATATTTATCTGGGATAAATTGTGAAGGAAAGTCTTGCCTGCATATCAATTAATTATAAGTCTATGCCTATCTAAAAGGGCCTGTACCTTTGGGTTCAGTAGAATTTGTAGTAGCAGCTAGCATTTATTTGCTTAATAAGTATATAAAAATTGCATTCTTACTGATAAAGTAGGAAAATGGGAAAAGTAAGAATTTTTAAATTAAAAAAATTAGTATCTTCTAGGCTCACAAAATCCTTCTTTTACGCCAGAGATGAGCAGATAAAAGTTTAGGTAACCTGCCCATGTCATTCATATATCTCTCCTTGCCTACCGACCTACCTATGTATGTATCTATTTCAGTTGCTGATGTCAGAGGGAACTAAAGTGACTAGTTGCTTCTTACAGTCCATATGAAAGCCACTGAGTGATCACAGACTGGGACAGCTGAGAAAGTGGACATTTCTATTAAAATTATTAACAGTGAAAATATCTATATCCAGGTTTTCTAAGGTGCAATGTGATATTGCTCAAGCCGGTCTTTTTGGACGATTTGAGTGCAAACATTAAACTCATCTGTGGTTACAGGCAGTATGCCAGCACTATGGTGTGCTTAAGAACAGTGTCCCGATCAGTGACTGGAGTCAGACATGATGCCATGGTAGTTTTTCTCCTTGTATCTAGGGAGCTAATTTCCCTTGGCTCCATATATGTCTGAAGCAATGCAAGCAACTCCAGAGTGCTTCTTCACAGACACCTTCTGAAGATGCCTGTTGCTTACCATTCATTGGCTGGTTGCTCCATTTATGTGAGACGAAACCAGGGCTTTAGGGCTTCTACAATAATCTGAACTGAATTTTGTTTAATCTATGAGCCTAGAGGCACAAGGTGGCACTTTTTAATCATGTATGTAATTACTTTTTTATATGCTGTGACAGAGATATTTTGGAAGTATTCTCTGGAAAATTTCCTCATCTGCATACCCAGTCTGAGTGCCGCTGTCCTGGAAGTCATCCCCGGGTACACCCATTGGTACAGAGGTACTGCATCCCTAATGGTGCAGATGATACCACTAATGACAGAGTGTTGAGGTTGAATGCAGAAGCCCATCCTCTGTATTACATCAATGATGATGACATTGGGACCACCTGGATTTCATCTGTGTTTGCTAATACTGCAGGTCTGGATCATGGTATTTCAATCACAATAGATTTACAAAATGGACAGTATCAGGTAATGTGAAGATTACATTTGCTGTTTATTAAATCAAAACTAGAAAAATATTTCTGTAAATGTTTCATTACCATTTTAATTTATCAACATGAAACAATGCAAAAGGCAGCAGAATGCATTATGGGGGTTTTTTAATTCTTTTTTGATGTGGCTTGTCTGTTGTAACAAGCAGCAATCTAGAACAGATATACCTGAATGAATATCCTGTGTGAAGACACCAATAGTTAGAAATTGGTTGCTCTCTTATAACTCTAGTTTTGTATATTTCAACTTGAGTTTTAACAGAAATTAAAATTAAAGGTGCTTGTTTCATACCTTCTGATATAAAATGGAATTTAACATGTCTGCAGCACGCTGACATATCAGAGGGGATTTCTGTTTTGTGGGTGTTTTGGAGATGGTAGCCTCCTGAGGAGTATGGAAGGAGAATACAATAAGCAGGCAAGGTTCTTAAAGAGGCCAGATTGCACCTGACCACTATGCTGTTGAACAATGGCAGGATGTCTTGGAAGGAGGGACATAGCGGTAGTGGGGCTGCATTCACAATCATAGCTCTACCAAATTTCTGTGTATTCTTGCTAGCTTATATTTTTTCTTTTTTGTCCTTAATGCTGGAAAGGGGAAAGAATACAATGACAGGTTTTGGCTACATAAGAATTAGTCCTTTAGTTAAAAGCGAGTTCAAATACCTGTGAAGTTCTGAAACTTGGCTTATTTGACACACACATTTCTACATAAGCAGTATGCTGGAGGAAGTGCTCTTTAATATGACATAGGGTATTTGATGAGATTCCAAGATACAAATAGTGGAGATTCCTTAAAAAAAAAAAAAAAAGTACCCGTTATCAAACAACTCATCAAATATTTGGCAACACAAAGCTATGCCCTTTATTTTTGCCAAAATAATATTACTGTAATAAATCATGGACTTGACTTTCTGGTGCATTTTCAAATGGTCTTCAAGAAAAAGTGGAGTTCTCATACAACAGTTCAGTTCTGTAAAATGTCTGAGAGATCAAAGTGCTTGTTTTACAAAAAAAGTTATCGTCTTTAATTGGGAATATGTGAACTGAAATAGTGGTTATTTTTCTGTCTGAGTGGTCAAGCAGTCTATATTGTCTCATTGAAAAAAAGTTTATTTTCTCATTGTTTAACAATTCAGTCATTAATATCAGTTTAAAAATTTGTGATCTTCATGTAGGTATTCTATATTATACTGCAGTTCTTTAGCCCACAGCCTGAAGCAATACGAATTGAAAGGAAAAAAAGAGATGATCTAAACTGGGAAGACTGGCAGTATTTTGCTAAAAATTGCAGTATTTTTGGGATGGATAACAATGGATCTCTGGAACAACCAGACTCTGTCAACTGTCTCCAGCTTCCTAGGTATGAGTGGGTATTATCTGCATAATACAAATGCTTTGAACAGGTAACACCCTGACACAGTTCTTTTCTATGTCCCAACGAGATAGAATCTTTTAATTTGGTATACTCATTTATTATGGGCTGCTGAGTATATAAGAGATCCCAAATCTGACCTTTCAATTGAAGATTGCCAAAGGTCATCTGTCGCTTTTATCAGATTTCAAACACCGAGGAATGTGACACAATTGATTCCTCTGTTATTTTTGAGCTAGACTTTCAAAGTTTTACATGCTTGAGTTTTGGGGGGCTACTGTCAGTACAGTTACGGAACATTGAGATGAAGAGTGGAGGAAGGTACTGGTATAACAGATTGTTTTAAACTATCTAGTGAATGTGAAAGTATATCTCTGAGAGTGCAGCTTTTTCTGAAGCTTAGAAAAGAGGCCAAGCTTAAGTACCAAAGCCAGTCATTCAGCCTTACTACTAATCATGCAAACCATGTAAGACATGGGTTGTAAATTGTATCTTGAAGCTTTCTAATCTTTCTAAGCAAGAACCAAAAGTAAACTGAGGGGAGGCGAGAAGGATCATTCCCTTTTAGAAACATGTTGCACGCCTTTTTACTAGACAGTTAGCATGTGCAAATTTAAAAATATGTAATATATACAGCATACATTTCATAAATATAACATGTAACACAATATATATGTTAATATATATTATGGTTTTACACACACGTGCATGTATGTACATAAATATATTTGATTCTATACCACTACATATATTCAAATGCACTATCTCTTACCTGAATTCAGATGCCAGTCAGTATTAGGTTTGTTTAGTACTTGGCTGGAAATCAGTGAGAAAATACAGTACCAGGTGCTGTAGGCATTTTGCTTTTTTTGTTGTTTCCCTTTTGCTACCTTCCTAAGACTTCTCAAGTGTCAGCATCTTTATTCTCCAGGAGTTCAGTATTTTGAGGAGAAGAGTGTAAGGTCATCTGAGTTACACCAATTTTCAGCAAAGGACTGAGCTTTATTGTTCATACTTGGTGCAGAGGGTAGAGGAGAAGGGAAATCTCTTGTGTAAGCCAAACATTTTTGGATAAATAACCCAAATGAGGTGTAATGCCCTTTTCAGCCCAGAAATATCTATTTGTATGTTTTCTAAAAAGAACTGAGGAGTTAAGTATGAACTGTTTCCATAAATGTTTTTTAAGTACCACTTTTTCTCCCCTTTGATTACAACGTAAATGATACTAGGAAGTAATATGAATGAATGATTTTGGGTACAGGTAGTGTACAGAAAGCTTTGTTTAAGAGATCAAAAATATACTTTGTAATGGTGAGTATTCTGTATACTCAAAGAGAAGATACTGTTGGAACAGTGCTCCAAATTTGTGTCAGTAGTAGCAGAACTCCCTGCTGAGACCTTTATAGAAGAAGATGATTTTATGGTAAAGCAAAACTTTTTCCTCTCTCTCACTCATACCCACATACTTGTAAGTGTCAAGACAAGTTCAAATTGTCTGTGCAGGATTTAGACACCAGTGTGTTTGTATCCTGGTGACCTAGCCAGGACTCCTTGGGATGATATGGAAGGCAAGTGGCCTTGGCTTTGAAATCCTTATCATGGCTTGGGGGTTCTTTGTTTGGTGACCACATGCTAGTACTGCATAGACTCTTTTGTGTCCTTTAGGAGATGAAAGTGATTAATGTTTTTGTTTCTACATCCTGTAACACTTCTGTAAGTTAGGAGTTGTTCACTGTCCTTTATTCCCCTGTCAGAGCCTTGAATCTTTGCTTGGTCTGAATATTTGCTGACCCTTGTTTTAGGATCTCCTTTGTTTTCCTGTTTTCCTGAGAATCTGTGTTTAGATGCCCTCAGATCTTGGTGACCTGCTTATCTAGGTGCCATCAGCCTTACAGTCCGTCTGCTGTTCCTTCTGGTGTTTCCGTACAAAGATGGTGTAATTTGTCTGCCATTTGTGCCTGTTTTAACATTTCTATTATAGCTCTATATGTCATGGAAGAAAATACTTTATTTAACTTTCTGTGGAGGGGAAGAAAGGACAGTATCCCCCAGAGAAACATACAGATAAATTCCACTGAGATTTTTGTGAAGTACTGACCTGGATAGGGGCACAGTAAATTCAAAGATCCGTCATGAAGGCAGAGGAGTATGACTCAGCAGACCTAGTCTAACTATGAATCTCATCTTTCAAAAGCTCAGAGATATTTTGAAGTGACGAGACATACAACATTTTTTGAATGTTGTATTCAGGTGCCAGGTGATACTGTGGGAATACCTATTTTTAATGCACTCATGTAGGTGGGCAGATAAGCAGGCATCCTTACTTTTTGCGGAGGCAAGTTCTACTCCTAGCTAAGCTCTGCCCAGCAAATATTCCAACATAAGATATGATTCATACCAAATTGTGCAAACGTGCAGTTTATATATACTGTTTACTCAGCCTCTGCTGAAATTCTCAGGACTGTTCTTCCCTGTCTTGGGCTTAAAGATACAGTTTTACTCTGTCGTGCTGTATTCCATTAAATTCTCTTGCACTTCACTCACTGGAAGGTGCCATGTGTTTCTAACTGTGCTTACTCATTGAATGAGTTGATATGGTTCAGTGGCTCTGGTATTCAAAATGTAGTTGTTTCTGTATGGTTTTTATAAGTGTTTAGCAGGTATATAATGAATGATATGGACATGATAATTTGTCATGTTAGTCATCTGAATGATTTCCTTACGTAATTCAAGCATAGATCATGTTTCTAAAAAACACTGTGTTAAACTTTTTGAAAACTTAGTGCAGATGACACTGTAACGGTCACACTTTATTCGTATTTTGAAGTTGCCCTTTAGAGTCTTTAATTTTAATTGGAAATTTAGGGTGTGGAGAAGAGCATGGCACTTTGGGGAAAAACACATATAGAGGACATTTCCCCTGCTTGAGTTCTGGTGACTGGGAATCCACTGGCATAAGAATTTTCCCCAGAAACCACAAAAATCCTATGTGCAGTTGAGACCTTCTCTGAGAAAAAGGATATTAGGAGATAGAATCTGTAAAATATGTAATGTTTTGATTTTGTTTTCCTCTCTATTTAAACAGCTTTACACCATATTCCCGTGGTAATCTAACTTTTAGTGTTCTTACCCCGGAACCAAATCACCGACCTGGTTACAATGATTTTTACAATACTCCATCTCTCCAAGAGTTTGTAAAAGCTACACAAGTGAGGATTCATCTCCGTGGCCAGTATCATACTAATGAGTCTTGGGTAAATTTTAGGCATAGATACTATGGAGTTAATGAAGTTACAGTCAGTGGAAGGTAGGTGTTATGGAACTCTTCCCGCACCCATTGCTGCCTCTGACTATTACAGCTGTGCAAAGTATATAATGACCTGCCTAAAATTTAATGAAGTTTTTCTGCTTTTACATTTATGAATGAGCAGGGAATTTGGTCTGAAGCAGTGTATCAAGTTGGAAATGATTAGTGTGCTGTTTTCTAAAACATTTGCTCATGTATTATTTTAAAATTAATTATACTTATTACACAAATCTGTCAAAAGCAGTCCTTGCCTTGGCATTACCAGTGCCTCTAAGCAAAGGCTTGTGATTGAAACCGTGACTTGTATTTTACTTCAGTAGCTCTTCCAAGTTTCACTACAGATTCCCAGACATGGCAATTCTAACAGTCTTAATGCAGAGCTCATTGTTTTAGCTTTAGTTTTCCTTTTAAAACTGGACAGCTGTCAGTAAAAGTGTTACATTATCTGTGACTGACAACTTTATTGTATATGATAAGTGTGCTGTCTTGTGAAAGGACTAGTTATCATTGTAAACAATATGCAAATTTGGCAATGAAATAGTTTCTAAGAAGCATATGGTGCAGATTTTTGTTAATAAGTATTATTCCTGAAATTATTTTGGTAGTTCTCATTTTGAGAGAAAGCACTCCATGAGAGGTCATATTTACCTTTAAAATTTTCTACTCTACTAATATGTTTTGATAACTGATTTAGAAGTGTTGTGATAATGCTTTTGCTAAAATAGCTACAATCTTGCTGTCTATGTAACTGCAAAATAATTTCAGCTGTAGTTTGCAAAGCTATGCCATGCCTCCAGAAGAGCAGCCCTTCAGGTAGAGTGGGATGGTTATTGCCTATTAACTAATACTCTATAAAGATTTTATTTTAGTAAGAAACGGACATTTTAACTGAGATCAAAATGGGATAAACTAGAAAATTATGCTTAATATGGTTAAGACTTCTTGAAAAACTACAGCTACAGTGTAAAGCTTAATATTGATGAATAATTGCCATTTAATAAAGTTTTACATATTAATGTTATATGCTGAAATATAGTTTTCATTACATATTATGTATAGGATAACAGTAGTTCTACTACATGCTGGCTTTTATTTTCTTGAAAAGCAATTGTTGATACTTAAAAATATGTTGAGTGAAGTAGTCTTTTTTAGGTTAACGCACTTAAGAACATTCTCTTTGGTGACGTTTATTTGTTCTTAATAAAGAACCAGACTATGTAATACACAAAATTGTCATTGTGACCATGTTATATATTGTTGGACAGATGTGTTACTATGTTTTAATTTTTTCTTCACTACTTATTGTTCTTTCAGGTGTAATTGCCATGGCCATGCTGATAATTGTGACACAGCTATGGAACCGTATAGGTGCCTGTGCCTCAAGGAAAGCTATACAGAAGGAAATAATGTTAGTCACTCCTTTGTCTATCTATGTCACCTATGACCAACCTCAAAAGTGGGATTTTAGTCCTGGGAAAGAGTGTGTGTATGCATATATGTGTTAGTGTTCTAGCTTTTATAGGGAAGCTTCCCATAGCATGGTTTGTATTATTAAATAAGGAAGCAAACACCCCACTGCTGCCAAAAGTCATTCCACCCTTGACCATTAGGAGTACTGAATTCAGGGATCTGATTTCTTCTTGGAGGTTTATGCCACTTTCAAACATTAGATTCAAACCTGAATTGAGACTGTCAGCATCTGATAAAGATTATGGCTCTACCTGATGTAACAACCAGCAAACGATCTGTAGAGTGAAAGGGTTATGAAGACTCAATTTTCAGAGTAGGGATTTTATTTTTTTAAACTCCACAGTAGTTTTAGTCTGGTCCTATGGACTCCAGACCCATTCAGTAGATGGAGTGCAGTAGGCACAGTCCTGCAGTTCAGCTTCCAGTTTGATTTCATTTGAAAGGGAACAGTTCAAGTGGTCCAAGACAGCTCCATGACGTGAAACAAAGCACAGTAAATGAGAAAATTTGGAAAGTTGCTTCAAAACTTCATGCTTAATCCAAGGCAAAACACTAAAATAGATTTACCTTCTGATACTCCGAACAGCTCTAGATACTTGAGACATCTGTAGGTTGCAGTCACTTCAGCTAAGAATGACATCTTTTATTGCGGTTGCTTTAGGAAATATGTTTGAGATAGGAAGAGTTAAAACATTTTGGTCTTGATTTTAAATGCCTCTACAGTTGAGCACAGTTAAGAAAACAATGAGATGTGCCTGTACATATGTATTTGGAAGTTATTTTCTTGGGGGTCTTATTCATTGTTTTGATCTAAACAGTGATTTGAGTAGTGGCTTTTTAAAATGTTGAATATTGAGCTTTGAACTTACTTATTTAAGGACAGCTTGTAAATGTCAATTTCCCATACTTTTTACAGTCATATGTGACATTTGGTTATCTTTAAAATAATCTGTAGTAGCAACATGATTGTCCTAATACAAGAACAAACTTAATATTGCTTTTTACTGCTCTGTGTTTTCAGATAATCTATATTAACCTATATTAAGGTTAAATTTCTTGGAATTAATTAAAAGTCCATATTAGAAAAATCTAGATACAATCTAGAAAATACATTCTTCTTATTTCTTTGCTTTGCTCTTAACAGCATTTCTCAATAAAGAAGGATTTTATGAAGTCTAGTGTGTAGTTGAAACTTACCAAGTTGCAAAATCATAATTTTCCTACTAGTTTTATAATTCTTGGCCATAGGAGAACCAGAATGGGGTTGTTTACTATAAATCATGGTCTTCTAGAGAAATATGTAGAGGAGAGTTTAGAATAATGGTGACAGTTTGCACTTATTTCATGCAACCTTTAGTTTTCTTGGATGCTGTTCACATACAATTTAGCAAAAGCAGAACCATGATGTATGAGTTAAGAAAACTTGCTCAAATAAAAGATTCTGTCTCTAGATTAATTATTTATCTCACACCCCCCCCTCAAAAAAACCCTTCATTTCCTTTTATTTTTTTCTTTTTAAGGTTAAGAAAGAATGAGCTATGTTAAAGGAATGAATCCCACAATCCCACTGAATGTTAGATTTATGTCATGAGTACATGTTGTATTCATTGCTATATTTATGCCTTTTGGAAATAGACTTTCTTAAGAAGGGGTTATGGAATAGCAACAGCAGTAGCAAAGGGGGAACTAATCTCACATCAAAAAACCCTCAAGCAGTCTGCTTGCTCGAACACAGCAAGAAGTTTTAACGTGAGAGCATTTGATACTGTGCTTAGGATCATGTGAAAGATCTTTGTAAAATTTCATAGAGGATCTAAGTTTTTTAGTTTTTTTAAGCAGAAGTGTAGACTCTACATTCTAAGTAGGATTTCAACAGAAATTTAAAGTTTTTAGATGGGTCAAATTAGAAAAAAAATTCAAACTGACAGTGTCCCTTTAATTAGAACACACATTGTGAAATGTTACTTTGTAGGGATTAATCATAAATATTTAATAAGATCTGGAAGTTCACCAAGCACTCTTGCAAGACTTATGCTACCTTGTGAAAACAAACCAAATGCATTTTAATGATGTATCTGCCTTATCAGATATTTTCTGTCAATATTAATGGGTTGTTCCAGTCAGTGTCACATTTTTGATTTGGCATACGTTCATTGTAGCTGTAATTGAAATGCTTGAATTAACTGTATTCATTCAGAGTACAATAAGGATGTTGTTTAATTATTTTCCTCATTCTTTAATGACCATGTCAGTATCTATTAAATATGAAATAGAATAAAATAATAATAAAATACAATTAATATTTGCAAATATATCACTAAGTCCTTTGAATTTTATCAAGGATTTGCATGGAGTACAAACTTGATTTTTTTTGTAAGACAAAAAACAAGATCAAAATTCATCCTGATTTTTAACTGTTATTGGCAGTGATAAAACTCTGTTTTACGGACTTAAACCTATGTTCCTCAGGCTCCTACCCCAGAAAATCAAGCATTTATTATTTTTTGTTATGTTTATCAAGGAAGTTCCCAAACATAAACTTTTTTGGCGGTGAAGGGGCAGATGTTTTTGAGAAGAAATTGTGCTGTCTGCAAACTGTCATTTTTTTGACTTCTCTCCTGTGCAGTGAGTCACCACAACTGAGGGCGGTTTTAAGAAGACTTGTGGTTTTGGGGGTTGTTTTTTTTTCTTGTTTGTTTGTTTGGTTTTTAGTATCTTGAACAAGAAATCAGAGATCCCTCTTAACATATGGCAGAGTATGTCCTTGTCACATTTACACTTAATACAACTAAAATTACCGTTTTAAATTTTTCCGGCATATACATCTGGATAGCTGTTGTACATCAAAGCAATACCAGAAACTAAAAATTTGCATAGTTCATTACAAATAGAAATCTTAGTTACTTGCATCACACTGTTATGAACTTTGACATATCAGATAGAATGTCTTTTTTTTTCTTTTTTCTGAGTTCTGTTTTGATGAAGAAACATGTTGCTATGAATTTTGAGATGATGGGAAGAAGTTAATGCTTAAGAATGTCTTGCAGATGTTGAGGAGACATCCTCACAGAGCTTATCTCCAATCTTATGAAAAAAGTGTTCAGCTTCTTAATTTACAAATTGTTCTGTAAGTGCCTTGTGTCCTGCTTTGGGAAATAGCTCTCTCTTTTACAAATGGAAACTGAGGCACCAAGAGTGGAGTCCCGCTTTTAGTAACATCTATATGCAAAGACTGAATTATAGACATGGATAGTAGTATGTTCAAAAACTTTCTATGATGTCACATGAAAACCTGGAAACAGCCTATGAAAAAATAAGGTAATGAAACAAGGTCAGCCTTACCTTAGAACCTCAGAGCCTCCTTTAAATCGGTCATACAGAACTTCATAAAGGTAATGGCAAAATATACAGGAATAATTGTAGAAATCATAATAGAAAATAAAATTGAAAATAAAGCTACTGATAAATGCTTGAGAAGGATATGAATGGAAGTGAAAGTGTGACTGGACACAATAAAGGCTTCAGGTCTTCAGAGTTTTCTATGCAAATAATTAATGGTCTTAAACATCTGCTGTCTGCAAACTGGATATGGCATTGCTGATTACCAAGAATTGGATAAATAAGGCTTTTTTGTTGTTGTTACAGAAGAATCTATTTAAACTTTTGTTAAGTCAATCTGTATCATCATGTTAGATGTTGAAAGTTACGATACATAGTACCCAAGGAACTGTAAATACTAACTATAGTAAGTGGTCACTCAGTAACAAAGACTTACAGCTTGCAGAAGCAAGTAAGCTAGCAAAAAGTGCACTTTTTGATTAGCTCTGTGCAATAATTTGTGTATCCAGAGGACAGACCTCGGAGGAAGCTGGTTATATCAGAATGAAAAGAAAGGAAATCAAGCAAGCAGATGGTTGACTGGAGTTTTAGGAAACAGCAAGCAAAAAGTCACCTAGTCCAATAGTCTTACCTGCCTGAAAATTTTAGATAACTTTTGACATGTCTTTGGAAGTTATGGGTTGTCCATGAATCCATCCCTGGAAAAATGGTGTAATTTCACAGTTCAGAGATCCAGGCTTCTAAAACAATTTGTGTACAAGCATTGCTGCAATACTGGAAGAACTTGTTGCAGTCTCAGATATCTTGTGATTTGTTGTACAGGTGATGACTTGCTGACGGAATTGTGAAGTGGTCATTATCTCTCATAGATTTTGATATGACATTTGTAAATTTTATTTCAGAGATGGGCAGATGGCAACTAGCATTATGATTGTCACTGTTAACCTCTCAGAAATTAAGAAGGCTGTTCCAGTCTGAAAATCATTTTTGGGGGCTTATCCACTGTGCAGGATATTTATTTCATTTAATGTGAAAGCAAACTGAGGCACGACTGGGCTGGTGCTTCATTGTTATTGGAAGTAGCTGTTTTAAATCATGGTGCCACATATATTTATTGAATTTCTATGATTTTTTACATATTCCATCTAAGTGCCCAAGTGATTAGCCAATCTGGTTTTTTTTTCTTCTTTTATCCCACTGAAACTATTATTAAGAAATAATAAATAATCCTATGCAATAGCTTCTTTAGAAGAGTAAAATTAACCCTAGAATACCTAGTAACTGTGACTGTAGCACTCTCTAATGCTACAGGAGAACGAAATTCAAAGGCATATTCCAAATGGACAAGGTAGAAAGAAGGAAAAATAAACACAAGATCTCTTATCATTTAATATACTGAGCAAGTCGGAACTTTGGTAAAACAGAATACATGCTGAACTCATCATCTGCAAAATGTAACTTCTCCCTGTCTTTTAATTTACATAAGTCCTACAGGGTTGGAGTCTAAATAAGAGTTAGATAGAATGGATGCCTGATTCGAAAATAGCTTTGAATTTTAATCCTGGAGAATTTAAGTGTGAATTATTTTACTGAGCAGCCTGATTGTCAGAATTAGTGTGGTTGCATACTCTTTGACTGAAGACACACGACTTCTTGTGGCTTCAAGTAACTTCACAAAAAAAAAAAAGCATAAATGAAAGATTAGTTGAGTAGAAGTATACCTTATGCTGCCTGACAACATCTGTGCCAGTGTTTGAGATCTCAGTCATGTACCATTACTGGAATCTGGCATCCGGAATGGTAGATCTTATGTTCTGTGCCAGTCAGGTTCTTTGTCAGTCACTTTGCCATTGTAAAACAGCAGCAGTATCTTTTCTTAGAATGCTATTTGGCATGTGGTATTTGTAAACCATCTGTTACGTCTCTGCTTAGTTTCTAAAATTATGTTGCATCCTTTTAAGGTATGGGGAGTGTTATGACAGAAGCCCGTAAGACACTCTTCTATTCTGTCTTCCTTATTTTTTTTTTTTTTTTTTTTTTTTCTTATAAAACCTGGCTTTTGAGTTTAAAAGCCCTTTGGTCTTTGGGGAGTTCACTAGAGACAGATATGCTTCAAAGCTCTGCTCACATGTGGTCTTGATAGATAGTCAAATGCTGTAGTGAGGGTGCTGAGGAAAAGCCATGGGGAAATTAAGACCATGGTCTTCAAAGCAGGGCTAAGCTATACTGGTGTAGATATTGTCTAGAAGCCATATTTATTTGAATAATGAAGCTAAATGGAGTGAAAGCATCCAGTCCATTTGGGTGCAGACTGGGCCAAAAAGGAAAAGATCGTGTATGGTTAACTATCGTATTATAGTTGATGCTTACAGGGCAACATAAATAAACATGGTCGGGTGATACACATCATGGAGTTTTTCAAAGACAAGTCAGCATTTTAAAATGCCTGAGAAGGTCGTGTTCTAATCTTTATATCACTTCAGATTTTTAAGTCTGTGTACCGTTAATAACATGTATATTGTAGAAGCATATGTATAAGTATTTTATGTGTGTATGTACTCTGGTTATTGCAACTGAACTTTGACTCACGGGTGTGAGATGGGTACTCCTATACAGGTTAGGAAAGAAAAAAAGGAATAAATTCTACATAACGTTAAAAAAAAAAAAAAAAAAAAAAAAAAAAAGGATGCCACCCAGAGGCAAGCAGTGGGATATTTTAGAGGTGTTGGAGTAGAAGGTTCTAGTTGATCACGATTTATTGCTAGTCTTAAAGCATTGTTATTGTTGCCTTCTGAAGTATTTCTTCGAATATTTGTTGACCATTTCTTCAGAGGCACTGTCCTCAGCATTCTTAGTGACTAATAAGGAACTTGGCACATAAAAGCTTAGGCTGAAGTCACTGGTGATCTTTCCATCAGTGTGGTGGATGCAGGAATTCTGAGGTAAGGTAAGTTTTTCATAATAATTTTAGTAAAAAAAATCTTGAATGCTTTATTGGAAATAAGTTTTAATCATAATTTTAAACTAATGAATTGGGCCAAGATAAGCCTAGATATTTTGACCATCTGGTTTCATGTAATGTTTTCTCAGAAAACTGTTTTTACTGAAGGTGAGTTGTTCAGAAACTATATATGAGGACATGTTTGTTATTGTCCATAGGGAAAGCCATATATTTAACATGTTTTCTGAAGGGCCTAGATGTAACTAAGAATAAAGACAAGTTTTTGGGTTTTACAGTTACGGAGAAAGGCTTCTTTTGTCAAGAATTAACATTCTTTGTAAATCTACTGGTAGACCTTGTTCAGATTTGTCAAAGGCTTTTTGTGAATTTACCTATCCATTTTACACATGGTAGCCAAGAATTGAAACCCAAATCTCTTGATACCTTTGAAAAGTCTCAACAGCTATGCTTTTGACAAATGCAGAGTTTGCATTTGGTGAATGAAAACCTGAAGATTGCCATGTGTACATCATCATGCTACCAAAAGCAAAAGTTAAACACAGCAGGTCTGAAAGTTAATTGCAATTCTTAACCTAATAAAGGTGTGACAAACTCATCAGGATGAGGTGGGGGTCCAGCACACATTTTTAATGCATACAGATGTGACAATCTAGAATGATGACTGTTTCATAGTCATTGCTATCTTTTGAATTACTACTTTTTTGCCAAGGCTCTTTAAAAGTTTTGTGAGTTTTAAAAGTCACAGAACAAGAGACACGATAGTTCCAAGAGTCTCTGTGCTGTGTAATCATATATCACATTTTTCTCTTACTCTTTAGTGCTTGTGTGTAATTTAACAATAGGTGTGCATACGTAACTGAGCCAAGATTAAATCTGAAATGAAATGACAAATGCTCTCAGCCACTATGTGGCTGGCCATGCACAAATGGAAATTCAGGGCTAGCAGGTTGGTAGGTATTCCAGTACTGTTTTCCTTTCAAGGAGGACTTATTTCCATAGACATGCTGCAAGAAGGAAGCTGCATGAGTGGGATGGTTTGGCTGGGAGCTTGGGTTTCTTTTTTGCACTTCCCAAGTTGTGTAATGCCTGAATGAACCTGTTGTCTCATGTTGCTCGTGCTGTGTAATTGCTGATTTTTCTCGAGACAAAGGGAGTGACTAAAGAGAGGAGAGGTGTATGTGAGTGAGGGAAAGACTTGAATAAGTTTAAGTTGTGTAACTTGTGTAACAGTTATGATCAAGGCATTCCCCTGGGTATGCTTAAACCAGGGTAATCACTATCAGGCAGTGATTCTTCTGATAAACAGAGTTCAAGGTCCCAAGTGAAGCTCTGCTAATTTTCATCCTAAAACCTCTTTGGTGATTTTTTTTTGTGGTTTTTTTTTTTTTTTTTCCTCACTGGGGTGATGTAGGTTTTGTTTGTTTGTTTCTTTTTAACAGATTGCAAAAAGGTGCAGTGGCTATTGTTATCTTACCTCTTACCGTAAATTTCATTTATTAAAACTAAATTTCAGCAGATAAATTCTTGTGCTTTCATTTTCTTTCCCAAGTTGCTTTTCGTATGAGTTGTGACTGCTCTGTTATCCTTGTACTATCTTAATCTTATGTTTTCCAATTCAGTTTCTCTTTTTACCACAGTTGATGCTTTACCAGCATCAGCTGTGAGTGAAACAGTTTAGAAACTTCAGTATAGTTTCCTAGTTGTCAGCATGATGTAGGCACACTGGGCTTGGAATAGCAGCCATGAAGAAAGATGAGCACACTTCTGGAATTTAAGAAGAAAGAAGATGCCCAAATACTTTACAGAAGTGCAACTTATTTTGAAGCATTTAAATTCCTTCTGGAAGATGGAAATTAAAATTGTAATACATTTTGTTTCCTAGATTCAGCAAGACACCAGTAGTTTGGGAATGGACTTTGAGTAATGCCAGTTAAATTAAAAAAATTATTCTTAACAAACAACTGTACGGTGTCAACATGTACCATTCTTCTGAGCCAGTTTCATAAAACTAGTTGGATCATTCCCCATAAAGACAATGTAAATATCCAAAATGCTATCCATTCATTCACTTTAAGAAATCCAATTTAATTTTAGTTCTTGATGAACCAGTAGGCACAGAAAATTTTCTCCTTGAAATTTTGTAGAGTTTATTATGAACTGAAGATTGCGAAGAATGTGAAGTTGAAATAAAGTTTTACTTAAAGATAACATTGTGAGTTTATCCAAATAAAAATAAGATTCTGAGATGCTCTGAACTACTTAAAAGCTTTTTTTACTGTTTTGGATTTAAGCTAATTAAGTACTTAAATATCATTAGGTTTTGTATCTAATAAATTTGAAAAGGATTGAAGAAAACAGGACTGTTTAGGTGTTTATTTAAACAATTTACCTGATATCCTACAATTCCATTGGTATAATTTAAAATATAACCTGAAAGAGCTGAATATATGTAGAGATTTATGTGTTTTGTTTAATATTTCTTTCTTGAAAATTTCATGCAGTAAATGCACATTAAGAAGTGCTGGTATTTCAGACACTCTGTACATCACATATTTTGCCATAGGAGGCCTTTTGTTTTATTCTTCTACTCACCTTCACTGATTTTACTCTGTTGTTAAAGTAACTTGAAAAGATTAAAAGATTATTTAAAAAAAAAAAAAAGATGGCTTTGTTATTTTCCGATATGCTTTCTGATGGTTTTGTTATTTCCCTATATGCTTTCTCATTTCTTGTCTAAACCCAGTATTTTTAACATTTAAATGGGGGAAAAAAACAGAATGAAACATGAACATATATAGTGTTCTTCTAAGGTAAAGAAATATCTTGGTTTTGTTTGTTTGTTTTTAATTTCAGTGTGATCGCTGTTTGCCATTGTACAATGACAAGCCTTTTCGTCCAGGTGACCAAGTTCATGCCTATAATTGCAAACCTTGTCAATGTTACAGTCATGCGGTAAGCTGCCACTACGATTTTGCAGTGGACCCTTTTCCTCAGGAGCACTACAGAGGCAGTGGTGGAGTGTGTGATAACTGTCAACACAACACAGCTGGTAAGTCATACAAAAGAGAATGGACTGTTTGTTTTACAGTTGCTTTTTGGATAAATCTTGTTTCAGCTGAAATTAGTAATGTTCAATGGCTGACATTCCAATAAATTCTCATGTATATGTATTTTTAAACTATCCAGATAGTGCAGTAATTGTGTCAATATTTAAGCTATTGGAAAATGCTGCTGAAATTTGTCCCAATCTTGTATAAAATCTTCAGTGCAAAACACATTCTAGTAAATAATTAGAACATGTAGTTTCAAAGCTGTTTCTATTACATATACTGGAGCATTTAACTCCAAAATATGATCTTTCTAACTGAACCAGTTTAACAGATAACATAATAAAAACTTTGTCAAATTTTGCTCTAATTTCTTGATGATTGAGTAAAAGTTTCTATTCTGTGTAAGTCATATATTTGAATGCCCTTTTTTTTTTTTTTTTTTGGTTTGACAGTTCTTTCAGTTTTCTTGGCTTTGTCTAGTAAAGAGAAAAAAGAAAAGTTTCAGGTTCAACGATAATTTTTCCAAAAAATGTATAGGCATTTGCATGGCACAGCTTTTATATAAGTGTGGTATTATATAACAGATGGAAGTTTAATGGAGTAAAACATAGTTTGTAACAGGTTCATTGTTTCATATGCTCTGGATCACTAAATTGGCAGGTAGAGATGAAAGGTGCATTAAAATGGACGTCCTGAAAATTATAGAATTCTCTCAAAGGAATAGAGTCTTTAATTTTGAATTATACAGCTAATTTTAATGAATTGGAAGCCATAATGCATAACCTTTCTCTCATGCAGGAAGGAACTGTGAGCTGTGCAAGGATTTCCATTACAGACAAGCAGGTGCAGATCTTTCAGCCGTTGATGTTTGCAAACCCTGTGACTGTTATGCAACAGGCACCAAAAATAAGAGCCTCCTGTGTGATAATGTAAGTAGCCTCAATGCAAAAAAATGACAAAACATTTTAATCAGCTGGGTATACAGCAGTATGATTTTACACAATATATTTAAATGGTAACTACTTATGCATTTTTTTATAAAATTCAGCCTTTTCAAAATGATAATTGACTTACATCAGCGACTGAAAGCTGAGAAACAAAGGAAGCAATTTGAGATGTACTATTGAAGAGTTCTTCATCTAGATCAGCAACAGACGTAGATGATACTGTATGAATTTTCAGAAGTGAATAGTAGTTTTGGGATACTATGAGGTACCTGTGTACTCAATAATGTTAAAACATGAAGGTTTTGAGGTTTTTTTGAAGGTCTTGATGCTGTCTTAAAATTAGTAACAGATTTTGAAAATTTAGGCAATGAGACGAGCCTGAAATTGAACTAAAATTAAGCTAAAATTTTCTCTGTAGTAAGACAAGGATTGATCTCCCTTTTAATTCATATAGTCCATTGAGAAAAAAAAATAAAAATCAAACCCCACAAAGTGATGCTGAAAAGAGAACACCATCAGCTATGCTTTTCAAGCCTGTGGACCGCACTGACATGTAAGACAGTAATCCAATAATAAATCTGTAACTTTCAAAACATGAATGTTGGAAAAAAAGCAGGAAAAGTGACTGAAGTCTTGAGCATATGTTAAAGATACATTGTGATTCATGTTCTGTTCACGTATGTCCTGTCCATTGCCCAAATCCAAATTTTGTTAGGAATAGGGTAGAAATAGCTTCTTTGTCTGAAATGTGTTTTAAAAACTTTTTAAAGTTTGAACTTGTTCTACAGGGAATTGAGATAGTACTTCAGCTTGTTGCCATGTTTCCTGTCTCTTCTTTTTCCAAACTTTTTTTCATAAAGCAATCTCTAGCATTTTCCACATGATGTTACTGGATTTAATTTAATGGTAAGCTCTTGTGGATCCTGTTGTATTTTCATCCTTGGTTCTGTAGTGGTACAAATGCATGCCCAGTTTGACTCAGTGCACCTTCACAGGACTTGTGCACTGGTACAGGTGTTGAGTGATGCGTGAATTTCACACAATATATTTTTTAAAATAATCCCCTATAGTACAAATAAAAATTAATACATAATTTTCCGTCTTCTGACGATGATACTTTTTGCCAGCATCACAGAAATGAAAAAAACCTTGAAAAATGCAGGTATCATATTAGGACTATTTTTTAGGGTATCAGAAAAATGAAAGCAAATGCTGATTTGTGTGTCTGTTGTTTGTGGTGAAATGTTAACCTAAACCAACTTTAGCTGTGATTAACAATCAGAGGAAGAGCAGTTTACAGAAATCACTGCTTTATAGTGAAATATACAGGAACATTGATGAAGCTTGTCTATGAGAGTATGAATGAAGAGATAAAATGGGAAAAATGGAGGAGTCTGTATTGCTCAATAAAGCATCAGTTGACTGCTGCAGTAGAAGCAGAGCAGGGAGAAATGATTAAGAGGCATTAAAGAATAGATTAATAAGGCTGGGGACTAAAGACTGAAATGAATTATGTGAAATAGGAAGGCATCATTGAAGGAAGTGTTTCCAAATTTGACCTGTGGAAGATGGAATCGTAAGGAATAAGGACCATACTCATGAAAATCGTCACGTCACAATGATAATTTTCAAGGAAATATGCCAGAATGGGGCAGAATACACATTTCATGCATAACTTACCATTTTATGCAGTTCATCACTATTTTTTTCTTGTCACAAACTGCCAGCTGTGTCACTAAGTTCCAAGAGGTACAGAGCTCCAGAATTAATCCATTGAATCACAAATTAATCTATTGAATCACACAGAAAGTATATTTACTCCTCCAATGAAGTATTATTAATGTAGATATTTTACAGGATTGGTAAGGATTTTACTGTAACATGTTTACTCCCATTTCAGTTCTTTGGACTGATCATGAAAACTTTATGCCTATTCTATTCACCTATTTCACTCTACCCTTGGTGAGAAGTGCATGTAGGTGTGTGGCATTTATCCCTTGCGTAGGTTCTCAGTTTTCATACATTTGTAGATCGTGCCCACTTACAGATCAGTTTGTAACTTCATTTGTATTTTAAAGTGCAAGCTAACATTAAAAACCATCAAAATTATAACTTTATGGCTTATAGAAGAGCAATGTAGCAGTGCATCTATGAGCAATTCATTAGACCTTTTTTGCACAGAAGTGTCCCTTGAGACTGGTGGGTACAAGAGAGAGGATTGCTACAGCCTGATAAAATTTGTCCACTTCTGTGTAGCTTATTGACATCTAATCAGTGTAGGAAAAGATACGCATTGGTTGCATCCTCTTTGTGAACATTTGTCACAAAATATTTCAATCAATCTGAAAGTCCAGATGAATCATTTGAGGTGCCTGAGTTTTATGAGAGTGAAAGAAGAATTGGCTGCCTTCTTCCCTTCTCCCTAACCATTCACACATGAGAAAATTCTGCCAGAATACTGCTGATGTGATCGTCCTTGCTCTGTGTGGAGAGCTGGAGATTAATTTCTTCTGGCCCTTATACTGCAATCCTTGACTCATTTTCCTGTGCTGCTTTTTACCCAGACTGCTCTACAAATGCTTACATATTCAATCAGGCACAGCAGTTTGTAGTTCTTTCATGATTCTATTATAATATGCCATATATAATGGCGTGGAAAAAAAGCACTCTTTTCCAGGGCATTTGTTTCTAGGCAAAGCTGAAACTGCTGCTATTGTTTTTACCTAGTCTTTGGAAGTACCATTCTGGTCTCAGTGAATTTAGGCATCTTTCTTTACTCAGCTTTTGCTGACTTTTAAAAATTTACTCTTAACATGCAAAGAAATACGTATCATATACTTATTGGTGCAAAGAAGCTGTACTTTACTGCAGAGGATATTGTTCAGAGTTGCAAAGACTCAATTGTCTTCTGTCAAGGTGGCAGCTGTATTGTCTTGTGTTGCAAGAAAACTCTTTCTGAGGCACGAAGATGAACAAAATGCTAGTTACTGTTCTTCTGAGGTCTCAAACGAAAACAATTCCAGTGCTACCAAGTAAGCTTTTGGACAGGCTTCAGATTTTACCTTTCTGTATACTCCTTAAATAATGATCTTTTGAGTTTCTTAATTTTTTTTTTCCTCAGAATTATAAATGTTTGATTTCAGGCTTTTATACTTAATGGAAAAGCTGGTTAACAGCTGTGTATGTATATGTATTTTAAAGTAGAATCTGATAATTTTACTTCTGAGTTGATAAATTCTTTGCTCTGAAATTAGAATGAGCATTCCCCTTTTCTCATTTTTCCACTTACAGAGTTTCAACCCATGTATTGTGATTGACAATAGATAAATAACTGGAATATGTGTTACAAGGAAAAGAACATAGGTAAAGCAGTTAATTAAGGGCATTTCAGTCAACAGATATATCAAATAGAATAAGGAGTATAAAGGATGCAAACATGTCAATTAAAATCTCATGTGCATAGTGGAGTCCATAAAAAATCAAGTTAGAAAACACTGTGTATATTCTGAATCCTGGATTTCCCTTCATGGAAAGCTTTTAATCTCATTGCTAAAGTGAAGGAAAATGAGCCTTTTATGTTAAATAATTCCATGGCTTCATATCTGCTGGGTTTTGTACTATGGAAATGCTGTTTTTCTGTGATAGTTTGTCAAGTTATTTTGGGGATTTGGTCCATTCCTACCCTTTGGAGTGTCATGGGAAAAGGGCAAACACCTCATTTTACATTTGGAGCAGAAGTAGTAGGAAGCTACTGACTTTTGAAAGTCATTGTATGTGATGACAAGAAGAGATAGCAGGGGAGTGAAAAGGAACTTCATTATTGCTGCTTATTCAATTTTTAGTTCCCAAGGCTGACATACTGAGAATACTCTCAGGTATTTGGTGGTCAGACCATTAACCTACGTGTGTGAGCCAGCAAACCTTACAGTTCTCATTTCCTAAACTGTAGAAAAGGAAAAGTCCTCAATCCCCTTGCTCCCCCTGTCCCACTTCCTGAGATTGCAGTCACCTGAATGCAGGGGTCCTTGCCAGATTTGCATCGAGTAAGAAGGTACTGAGAGGTATATGATTAGCATTTATATCAAAAAGGCAGAACATTGAGATCAGTACCAATCAGTTGCAAAGCTAGCAATGGCAGGATGGACAGAAGGAATATCATGCAGGAACTAAATATACCCATGGATCTTAAAATGTGAGTTTTAGGACATTGCCAGCTGGTCAAGGGAAGGTGCTTCTCTTCTGGCTCTTCCAGAAGTAAAATAATTGAAATTAAAGAAGTAAATAATTGAAATTAATCATGACTCAGCCAATTGCAAAAAGGTTTTTTTTCATGTCTTTTGGGCTTCAAAACTAGAAATTAATTTTGGTAAAAGAAATGTAGTGGCAACTTTTTTTTTTATTATTTTTTTTATTTAGTAGCATCAACACATATCTCATTTATTCTCGAGAACTGGACAGACTTTCTGATTATGTGTCTGCCAGTATGTTTCTTCTATCACAGACATGGAAGAATAGCTATTTGAAATTACAGGGATATCCAAGGAGAAAAAGGTGGTTAAAAACTTCAGAAAGACTTAGACCAGCTATTTTTTCAGCAAATTACATTTAATACTTTATGAATGCATATGGTCAACAAGATTTTAAGTAGTCAGAATATATATTTCTGAGACAATTATATGTACATGTTGATTATGTACTAGATAAGCACTATGGTTAAATAGTTTGCTGTACCCTAAACAGTAATTAAGACAATTCTTTGGAATATGTCACTGTCCTGTGTACTTAAATTCCCTGCTTAAACCCTTGTATCAGTTTAGTAACTGGACATTGGGAGGGTTTCTGAACAGGCTTCTGTCTGCATTTCTGATTCTAGATGTGTTGACTTAGTGTACCCCAGTTAAAGAGTGGTTGCCAATAGAGTCTAAAGGAACGTGAACTGCTAGGTATATCTAAAATTCAGAAATCTCAAGTAGTCTGCTTCT